CAAGGGCTTCAATTGTTAAAGAAATGTGTCACGCTCGTGGATGCAAATCAAGTGGTACCCCGTGTCTCTGGCAAGTGTTACTCTTCGCGCAAAGGGTTTATACCTAGATAAACGAATGCTTCGACTGAGGTCTGGGAACTCTATGGTATTTTGGAATTATAAAGAATTTGTGCTTTTATTTTAACAATATTGGTTATATTTAGATGTATTCTTATTAATTGAAATACAGATTTGTAGAAGTAATACTTTAACAGTTTTTATTAATATAATATATTCAATTTTTATCTGACCATACCGAAGTAGGGAATTTTGAAACTTTATAGTAATGTGAAATTTAAATTACAATATTACACGATATTACATAATTAGTACTTATTTTAGGTAGGTACTAAATTTGTACTTGGAGAAAGTAATATCGATTTTTACAAGAAAACTTGAAAAGTAAATTAATTTAGTTCTTATTTCTGATGTAAAACTTAAACCAAGAAAACAAATAAATTGTAGTTTGTTCAACAAGGGTGGATATGATAGCCATATCACACAAAGACGAAGTTTGAGCACGACGTCGTAGGCGGAGTACTCAATCGTCTGATTGTGATATGAACAATCCACTCGATATGGTCAGTATATTTTTTCTACGACCCACTAACGAAAATCTACAAATTTAAAAAATTATTTTAGGTTATTTAGACAAAATAACTAATTTTAAAATAATTTACGAAGTTGACTAATTTATAAAATAAAATAAAATAAAATAAACATGAAAAATTAATTAGTCCTCGGCCTAGATTCGATCCCGGGCTTTTCGCATGGAAGGCAGATGTTCTGTCCTCATCTTCACCAAAACTTTCAGGACTTTAGTTTTAATACTCGTAATTAAATTAGTATCATGTAGTTTGATTAAAATTTATTTTTTTTTAAATGTGGACATAATAAAAACAAAAATGCTATTATTTATCGAGTCTACACAAAAATTTTAATGTATATTTAATATCAATAACTAAAATATATATTGACAATTAGTTTAACAGAATTATCACTTATTTAAAAATTTTTAAATAATAGGAGTTGGGTGACCAAAATATTAACTGTGATTTGTAGATTTAATTTTGTTAAAGTGTTCTCACTACCTAAAATGGATATGAAATATATTCGTAGTTGAACGCAATAACATAATTTTTCGTTTTGTAGTATGTGCGTAGATTGGCTAATATCCATGCACAGATTACAAAACGAAAAAGTATGCTATTGCCTTCAATTGAACGAATATATTTCATATCCATTCTAGGTAGTGAGAACACTGAAAAAAAAAATAAATTCGCCAATCACCGTTCATATTTTGATCAACTGACTGCTATTATTTTTAAAATTTTAAATAAATGACAATTCTGTCAAACTAATTGTCAGTATATTTTTTAGTTATTGAGATTAAACATACAATAAAATAAGTGATTCTTTTGGAAAACGTTAGCATGGATGACTAAAGGGTATTGGGTTAATTAATTCTAAATGTGTGGTACAAATGTTATTTTTTGTAGCCAATTCTTCAAAATTATTTTAAAATATCTTTTCAATATTGAATATTAGTTCTACAAATTCATCATTTGACAGTTGCAGATTTCCAAATGTATCTGAATTGGCGTTATCATATGCCTTTTAAAAGCAATAAAAAGAAAAATCGTCTAATTCAACGTGATCTTTGTTATATTTAAGACAGGTATCGCAGGAGTGGATCCGCAAGGCTTTTATTAAAAGGTAACCACACACATACCTGATAAAAATTTTCTGTAGCAATTCGTCTTTACAATAATTTAGGGTGTTAATAATTTCATCATAAAATAAAATACAAGGTGTTCCATTTAAAAAACATACATTTTAATTTTCCAGGCAAAAACGTGACACCCTATATATCCAAAGATATTTTTAAAATATGTAGGTATTTTTCAAATCCATATAACTTTTATTTAAAACTTTTTTGCGTGTCTACAACAAAATAATGAACAATAACGCACTAATGAGACACCCTGTATAAATTATATTTTTAACAATGAAAATTTCTTATAATGTAGTACTTATCGGTTTGGGTCCTTGGGAAAACTAAAGAATGTTTTCTTGCAGGTATAACCCTTATTAAAACAGCTTTTGACTGCACAAACTCATTCTACTCACAGCTAAAGAGTCACCAAAATAATAACAGTACCTTTAACTCAAACAAAATCAACGAAATTATAGGCTCCCCGAAATTATACAATCAACGAAATTATACGCACGACTCAACACCTTGCCTAAGTACGCTTCTGAACGCCAAAACCGTCTTTTCCCTTCGAAGGCGGAGCTTAAGCGATGCGCGACGAAATCGACGCAAACCGTTGCCGCCAAGAGAGTGTTTTAGCTGTATTGTTAAGCTGTGATAAAAATCTGTGTCTGTGTGCGAAACAGAAAAAAAGATATTAACATTGGACAGTTATTAGATTTATGCTTAATTGGCAATACTACCATTCCCGGGGAGAACTTCACAACGGAATGTAGAGTGTGTTTTACAATTTTTGACAATTTTCGTATAAAACAAGCATTAATCAAAATAAAAATTTGGGAATTCAGAAATTTAGCAATCGGTTGTAGTCAAGATCGCCTATAATGGGGCCCAAAGTGGAGACTTGTAATATTTACTTGAATAAAATGATAATTACTATTCGGCTTGAAGAAAACTTTAAAGGAAAAGAGTTAAATTTTCAAAACCATTTGAAAATAAAAAATTTGAATTTTGTCTTTTCTTCTATAATCCTTGTCGTTTATTGCAATATTTCTACCTCTTTTTATCTATGTAAACAGCATTTCTATTTTTTCAATTTTTTCTTTCTGTGAACACCATTTTTCTTTTTCTTTTATGAAAATAAAGTGTCCGTATGAGTTTAGTTACTTATTTCTCTTTCTACCTTTTTCACATTTTAATATTTTTATTCTATTTACTCCAACCGCCTCACCAACCGTTTAATTTTCCTGCTAAAGAGCTTTTTACCTTCATATGATAGGCTTTACTTCTCTAATGTGACTGTTTTTATACAATTAAAATTTTTATTACCCTTTTGTTACGCCGAAAATTTAGAATTCATTACCGTTCTTATTTATTCATGTTTTTCTTACCATAGGTATTTACGCGTTTTTTCCTTAATTTAGAATAATTAATTTATGTTGATATTTCTCATAATTAATTGGATTCTAGTGACCCTTAATATTTTTATCAAAATAGTTTAATTTATTTGTTGCCAATATATTGGGAATCACTCGCGTCGGAGCACATCTGTGCGTTTGTAAAGGACATTTTTGGATTTTTAATAGACGAGTACCGTATGAACCGTTGAAGTGTTCGCATTGAAAAATCAAAATATTTTGCGATTTTTTTTTTTTTTTTTTTTTTTTTTTTTTTTTTTTTTTTTTTTTCGATTTATGGCCTAGGTGTATATACCTAATATGCCAGTCTCAAATTTGTGTTTAAATTCTCAATCATGTGTGTTCTGTGTAGGCTTTGTTACTGTTTCCCAGCGCCACTTTAGGAACAGCACTGTTAATTAGAACCCAACAGTGAATGGTCGAGTGGGGAATCCTACCAAGGCATCAGAATTAATTTTAAATAATTAAATTAAATGAAAAGAAGAAAACGTGTGGGGCCCCCTTCAAGAATTCCAGAACGCAGACATACCACTAGATGAGTCTCCTTAAAATATTGGCTTCTTCAGATTTTTTTTGTTATTTAAATTTAATTATTTAAACGACCGCCTAAAAGGAATTAAGGTTCTCTTGCAATCCAGAAACTGGGCTTTATCTAAGGGAAAAATCAGCAGTTCTCATCATTCGAATTTTTCCTCAAGATTTACTGTATTTTTTTAGATAGTCTACCTTTGAACAATGTAGTGCGCCATTGATTCTGACAAGAAACTTTTCGGAAAGTGTAACAAGTAAAAAAGTTGTTGAAGTTATCTGGAGCGAGTTTTAGCGTACGGGCTCCGTTTTATCGGCTGGGACGGCAATTTATCAACTGCAGAGTTACGCGGTTTTACGCAACGTTGCCATATTGACTATAAAACGCACATGAAGTTGACATTCTGAATATATTCGAAGTTGTAACAGCTTACGTTTATAAACATTACTTAAATCTTTATTTTTCCCCACTTTTTTTTTTAATTTATCTTAATAGAGATATTTTTACTTTTGTTGTCCTCTACTTAGTAACGTTGAAGTCTCAGTTTATTCAATTCAAAAGTTCCATTAATTTATTTTTGTTCAACTCTGTATTTGACGTACCAATTTCTTTGTACGAGTTCCAATGTTTAAACTTACTTTTAAGTCTCCAAATTGTTCTATCCAACATCCCTTTGAACTGTTAGAGGTTAAAATATGCTAGATGTCCATTATTCGTATAACCTATACGTATAACCCGTATAGCAATAACTTCGATTGTCCTTTCCCATGGTCATAAATTTCAGACTAGTGTCTCACAGCTATATATTTCCAGTTTAAATTCATTAAAGTTTGTCTGGTCCTGTGATTTAAATTTTGTTTTCATTGAATTTATTCCTCTTTTAATTTCTGTCAAATTTTAATCAGTTACTGGTCAACGGTCAGTCTTTTGCGTGCAAGATAATGTTTGGTGATTCTCCTGTCATGAAATACTATTTATGAATCAAGGTATCTTGTGTGTTACTGAGCAAATATCCCTCAGACAACATTGCAATAAAAATAATTCATTGGGTATTAAATCAGGACTATACGACTAATGATCCATTAGTTTAATATTTTGACCAATTAAACATTGTTCAAGCCACTATATGTACTCGCTAATAACCAAGATGAAGTCTTAAATCTTCCCCTTCTTGGGTTATTTTTTTCCATTATTTTGAAATACTTCTGGTACTCTACTCCGAATTAACCTTTAAAATAAAGCAACAACAATAAAACGGTATTCTTCCCTTTAAATTTAAGTAAATATTTTTTTGTTACAGTTGCACTCACCAACAACCTCACCGAAGATGATCTCCAAAGGTACTACCTGATACCCGATACTGCAGCTACGACAACAGCTCCGGGAGTTCCCAGTGGAGAAACCACCCATGCTAGAAAAGAAGTCACTCCTGCTACCAGTCCTACATCTAGCACCCAAGCGTATATAGGGCTTATCACTGGCGCTTTGGCCATGGTGATACTGCTGCTGGCTTGCACTGTGTTTCTGATGATCAGACGTGGAAGAAAGAAGGTAAATGTTAAATGTATTTTACGAGCGATGTATGATAGGAGGATATCAACTTTAATTTAATAAAAAATATATAAAAAATGAAAGATTTTGTTTATTGTATATATTTTTTGTTTATTCAGTAGTGGGAGTTAGCGCATGTACTGGCTTCGCGTCATAGTAAACCATAATAAAGATCAAGTAAAAATTATAGAGTGTTAGTTGACCTTTACTGGAACATCTCTATATCAATCATCTCCTGATCATACTATTTAATTTGAGAATTTTAGGATAGTAGCGTATATGTTGCGGGCTACAGAATTTCTTCACTTAATTTCAAATCACGAAAAAGGGTTTTCTTCTGTAATGTACTAAACTTCTGGATTTTAAATGGATTTCCACTGGTTAAAATTAAAAATGTACCTTCCTCAAACTTATTAATTTAAATCTTGACAAACTATTAAATTTTTAAACATTCTACTTGAATTACTAGTTTACTAATTTAGAATGAATAAGAATGAAGTGTATTGTTCAAAGGCGAGAATAAATCTGCTTGTCGAAACTCGAAACAGCGCTGGTCAACGTTTGCCCTTGGCAATCTCTAAGAGGTGACTTAAGGTGTCGGGTCCCTATTGGTGGCTGGACCTCACCTGTTCTACTCGTTAATTTATTTTTAAACATAGAGTAACTGAAGAGAGAGAGAGATGTAATTTGAATTGTTTTAACCGTTCTTCTTATTTACTTGCTAGTGAGTGTGAGTCGATTCTAAAAATAACTTTTATATTATATGTTGTAATGAAGTCAATTTTTCCTCAATCAGTTTATTTTAATTTTTCATTTTTAATAAATATTAAGCGCGATTAAAATGTTGGTCCTGAGCTTAGACCGATGCGCAACTCCGATCGAGATATCGATGTGCGGTGGGACTGGCGTTGGTGGGGTCTCTGATATGGAAAGGGAATCGACAGTTAAACCAGGCCCGAGATTCAATTAAAATTTTTAGTTCGATATAATTTTTGATCGATAATTGCTTTTCTTTCTCGTGTTTATAAATCCGTTAGGTAAAAAACCTTGTTTTGCTTTTTTCGTTTTATATTGAGACCGTATTTCATTTTAAAAACCGAATTATCTTTCAGAAATAGGAACATTTTAATTCAGTAATACCGTTTCTTTAAAAGGAATAGAATTTGATTTAAATAATAAAGGATAGGATTTAGTTCTTTAATATTGTAATACCGGGGATTTAGACTTTTGATCGTTAGTCTGTACTAAGAAATTATTTTTTTTTTCTTTTTGGTGGGTTAAATCGGGAATTAAATTTGATTTTATTGATAAATATTTTTGTTTAGTAAGTGCCGCGTTGTAACTAAGTTGGGAATATTTATAAACGGAGTTTTCGAGGAGACGTTTTCCCTCTTTTAATAGTTTGTTTATTCTTTTACCGTAAATTTAAATAATCTTAAATAGCATCCTGTCCCTGTCTGAACGGGCTCGTGATGACGATCAGTTCATTCTTGGAGTAGGTACTATCCGCGTTAGTAATTTTCTTCCCTCCGATAATAGTTTTGTTTTTCTCTTTCACCGTCAATTTAAATAACTTTAAATAGTATCCTGTCCCTGTCTGAACGGGCTTGTGATCACGATCAGTTCATTCTTGCTATCCGCGTTAGTTTTCTTATTCCGTTTGTATTCTTTATTTTTTTTCGTGCAAATTGCAACTTACAGAAATCTTAAATAGCTTCATTACCTTGTCTGAGCTCATTCTAGGATAATAGGCTACCCCGGATATAAATTAATTTTTTTCCTTTCCGTATATTTACTATAAGTAATTCTTTCGCGTTCCTATCTCCTCGCACTCTCTATGACCATTTAGCTAATTCTTCCTTACCAAAATAGTAAAATACCTACATTTTAGTTTAATTCCCGATACAACAGTTAAATAGTTAATTTTTGCTACGACCACTCTTAGGATTTTTCCTTACCGAAATGGGAAATTATGTTTTAGTTTAATTACCGACTAAATAGCCAAGTTAATAATTTTTTCTGCGACCGAAACATTCATTTTATTTTAATTCAATTTTGACGTCTGATTGAGACTAGTCGGGATTCAATACCGCGAGTTTTGTTTTTTTTTATTTTTTGTTCAGGGTTATATTGACTATCACCACAACTAGGGTGGGCGTTGAAATATATAATTTCTTTTTTATGTTGTAAATAGTTTAAAACAATATATGTGTCAATGTTAACTTGCCGTATTACTGGTTACTAATTCCGTACTTTATTTCCCCCTTGTATTTCAGGTAGTGATAAATTCTGTACCAGCCCAAGCAACGATTAAAGACCGTTACTTGTGGCCTACTATTACCTGTATCTAAGTGACCTTTGACCCCTGGAATTTTTCATCTCCATCTGTAGCTACCTGAGTACTTTCGACGCCGTTTCGAGAGTTTGTGGAGTAAACCATAACCAAAAATCTGGCGCTCGAGAGCCGCCCGTAACCAGCGCCATTCGTAAGGAACCGTTTTCTCTGTGGCGAGAAAACCCCTTACAATGTACAGGGTGATTCTATATTTTTTTATGTGATTGAAATATATTTTAATATTTTATTTTATTATCTAATGGATTGAATGATAAACTATGATGTTATTTTTATGTTACCTTTCTTTACATACAGGGTGGGTTATAAGAGTAACTGATGTATCTTGTTAAAAAATGCTTGTCATTTTTGAACAGTATACGTTTAACTAATTAAGTTTTAACGCAAAACATTCCTTTTCCAGGTTGCTCTTTTACACAAACACACCGCGTTGGTATCAAGCAGCACCAAGCCGACCACAATCAATATGAAAGATCTAAAAAACAACATGTCCACTCCTATAATCAACAACGGCCTATCCCGTTCGAGGTTATCCGTTAAAAGCAAAGATAACACTATCGGGAGCGTTGGTTCTAAGAAGAATAAAAAATGTAATTTGTATGGAAACGTCAATGGAGAAGAGTCGGATAGTGAGAACTCTTCGGTTTACCATGAGCCTTACAAACTACTACCCAATGCCAAGCAGGAATACGGGTGTTTGTTGAAGACTGAAGGGATAGCGTCGAGTAAAAGTGGAGAGTACACAGGTATGTAAATCTTGCTGTTTTCTTCTTCTATTACTTTTTTTTTCATTGATCTATAGAGCAAAATTACATAACGTACCTCTTCGTGAAAAATTTTGTTAAAATTATAATAGCATAAGCTAGGAAAGAATTGTTCAATGTGGCGTTCCACAAGGGACAGTTCTTGGTCCCATTCTATTTGTAATACACATTAATAATTTACTACTACACTTCTGGAGAGGTAACAAGCTTTGCTGATGGTACATATTTTATACTGCAAGCACCTGGATTGATTTGAAACAAAAAAATTGAAAACGATTTTAGTAATAATATAAATTGGTTGATTCCAAATAAATAGCACAAGCATCAATTAATTAAAATTGAATTTTTACTTTCAAGGATACGTTAAATGTCCTTTTATCATGCGCTTCTGATGGAAGAAACACATTTATACATAGATTAAATTTTTAGTGAACAGTTAGGAGTTATTTTAAAAATATTGTAGAGATGTCTCAAGTCATATTTTTTTAAACATATCTCACCCAAATCATTAAAAGGTGTGGCTTGTACGGTGAACTATAAATTAGATACAATATGAGTCGCAGTGGGAGGCAATGAGATCATCCCACTAGTTTTCAACCTAACCTTACAGTGTGAAGCAGTCATCATAGTCGTACATGCTGATCCCCACTCAATTAATTAAGGCGCCTCGCTCTTTCCAATTTGGTAGCCGATAGGACAGCTCTATGTGTCTTAATATGAAATACGAACTGCTGATTAGTCTAGTAGTGTGTTGTTTACTACCTGTCTTGAAATTTCTTTCTTGAACGTCAAACAAGGGATATGTTGGCTAAGTAATAAAATTAGAAACACCCTGTACAAACGCATCAAAAATAGTGAATAACTTCAAATGACATTACATCTTGTTCCATCCAAAGCGTTTGGTTTAACCGCACTCAGATCGAATTAACTGATAGGAAATCCAGTTTGCAATTTATTTTTCTTACGTCTTGCGCGAAACCATGTTCAATTATGATATAAAATCGCGTTACTTCTGACACCTGTCTCACACGTTAACATAATAAGGCCAGTAGTCGACGTCATTTTTCATAAAATCTCAACTGAAAAATGCTGAAACAAGGCGTTAAACTGAAAAATCGTGCGCTGCATAATCGAGGCAAAGATTAAGTTGAAAGTGTCTTCATTTTAAGCATTATTTAAGTGTACAGGAATAATACGAGGGTGATCTCCATGTTCCACCACTCACTTATTTAGTTTTTTTTTACAGTTTAACCACGGAATGTATACAAACTAAAACCAACAATTGGCTAAACTTTTTGTGAGCTTGATGGGATTCTTATAATAGGGACTAACCAGCTCCTTGTTGACACAGTGTTGTCTTTAGAAAAATCTCCAATTAAATCAACTAAGAAGCAAAAGCATTCTTCCAACATTTTCCAAAACTCTTAAAAAATCAACTGAGTTCACGTAACAAAAAATTAAAAATTCTTTCCAACATTTAATTTGATTTAGAAGTGAGATGGCTGCTCGACCGTTTTAGCCAATGTTAGCGATACCATCATATTTCAATCGCTCGATTCAAATAAAGTATGCAATTTAGTACTATTTGATTATTAACAGCCATTTGACACAATAAACCATAAACTTCTATTAGAAATTTTGCATTTTTTACGTTTCAGCCAATTGTCGAAGCAATACTCTTTGTAACTAATAAATAGGATTCAGTAGCTGGCTATCAACACTATCTAATTATTTGTTAGGCAGAAAGGTTATTCCACACGGCAGCATTTTCAGCCCATTACTGTACACTCCTTTCTCTATTCACATCTAAATTATTGCATAAACGTGGGGCTCTTTTAAGAAACAGTATTCCAGTACACTTCTCTATAATCTCGTTCATATAATATAATTTTATAATTTTATGGGAAACGCAACAAATACTAATTTTTTAAGATTAAAGAGAA